TATGAAGTACCATCTCCCAAGAGATGATATGCAGCAGGCTCTGCGAGACACTGGTGACAGCAGCGGGCTTGGGACCCTGAACAGATGAAGAGATGCCCTTGTTCACAGATAAATCTATCAAGTTTTCAGGCATTTGCTCAAATATTATTAATTCTGCTCAGGTAAGGAAACATTTACTCCTAAGACACACAGATAACCTGCACAGGCCTGGGGCTCTGTTGGTTACACCTCCTGCATCCCGTGCTGTCACTACATTGTGCTGCCATAGCTCTACAGACCCTCTCACTGAACTCACTCAAAAACTACCAATGTTCTCCTGCTTGCAACTTGATGAGCCCAACCTTAAGAACTTTATCTCTTACATGAAGCCAGGCCAAAGTATGCCATTCACTGACAAAACATGCTGTTCACAGTGACCACAAATTACCTCCGTGGTCTGGGGAGAAAAATAAACAACCGTTGTGTTTTCTGTGACTTTCTCACATCTGTTTTCCAAGGAAAGACAGACACAAGGCTTTCTGTGACTGAGATTTGCTCTAAGCTACAACAACGTACAGTCAAGGTGACAACGTCAGTCATGTTTTAAGGCAGTTGGACTTCTCAAGCTCCTCACTCTGGAAATCTGAAAACTTCTGGGGATAGCTGTGAAATTTCAACTGATCAACACAGATCCAGCCTATGGAGTTGCTCACTAGTACACAGATAAACAGGACTTACTGCAGCAAATACAGCAGATATCTAATTAGTAAATGGACATTCATATTGTTTGCAGCAGAATTTGGATGAAGCCTCTGATTTGTCTCTGAATGGTCAAAGTTGGGATGGTGGACACATCCTCACATGGTGAAATAGCAATGTAAGAAAGGGGTATGCACAAGGCAAACGTGAAATCAGGCTGTATACTATTTTCAAGGTCTTGTGCTGTTTCACTGGCACTAAGTCTGCTGTTTACTCTTTGCCTGTTGCTATGCATAAGTGCCAAGTATTTATTGGAACAAATTATTAGAAATAATGAGAAGCCAAACAGGAAATCAATAAAGACTCGTTTATGTGGAAAAATACGTTTATCCTCACTTCTGATAAATAGCCAGGCAGGCAAAGCTGAAAGATCTCCATGTCAGATGAATAGTCAAGGCACTGAAAAATAAATTTTGGTGAATTACAGCAGGTTCACCTAAAAGGATACTAAATGTAGTTTTATTTTTTGTGCTTGCTGAGCATGAAAAAAGTTTGTACACAATGAAATCACTAGATGAAACTACAACGTATATGTGACTTAAGCTTATTAACATGCCTTTCTATCAGTTTGCCCAATTTAGATAAAACAGATTAATCACTGTAGAGTTATTCCTTATTTGGAATAAAAGGGCTCAATTTCTGGTAATTTTTATTTCTTAATGTCTCATATATGTCTTGTTAAAAAAGCTCAGTTGTTCTTAACTATACACACTGATATCATGGCAAATATCTGTCAGAAAATCTCTTTCCTCAGCTCTGTTTAGCCCACAAGATTAATAAAGGCAGACCTCACAGACATCCTCCACCCATTTCACAGCACTCTAAAAACCCTCCTACCACAAGACACACTCCAATTATTTCCTTTTCTTCCCCTGCTATTACTTTTTCTCCATTTTTGAGCATCATCTATCATCATCTTAATGGAGCTCTCAGTTCACACATGTTGGGTTTTTTCCTATGATTTTCCTATGATTTCCTATGTTGGGGTCATTCTCCTCCTTTTATAGGTGGGGACACTGCAACAGGATTTGGTACTCAGTGTGAAGATGAGGAAAGGTGTAGGCAGCTGTGGTCCTCTTTCAGAATGTAGGAGAAAGAGGATGACAAATGTTAAGATAAACAGAAAATTAGGAAATAAATCAATTTTAAAAAAATAATCTAAATTTGGTATGGACATTTGAGGTAATTAATGCTTTGAGTACCATCAGGTACCCAAAAGCATAAATTGTATTATCAGTATTAATAGCTTTTATAACATCATTGTATGTTATTCATGTTCCTACTGTGTTTTTCTTCACTAGGTGGTAACCACAGAAACCAGAAATCAAACCAAAAAAGAGGTATCAGTGACAAAAGCATGGTGATATGGCACAGAATGATACTCTGCATTTGTTATCTGTGACTGCCAGAAAGACAGAGAGAGAGAGAGAGAGAAACACCACAGTTGCTTTAAGATGCATATTAACTCAGGATATCAAAGCACAAACCCAGAAATACAGTGTCTGCAACAAACTCCTGAGGGGAGAAAAGCAAAGAATTACCTGATGCAACAACTTCAGAGGATGAAGCTGCGTTTTTTTCCCCATAAATACAGCTCCATGATTTAGTCTTTCCTAAGCTGGCAGCAGAGAGATGGCTCTAGAAAATAATAAGCTCTATGTGGTGATCAGGCTGCAAGCTGCCTGCACTAGTCAGCATTCACTGCTTGTGGCAGAGTGCCAAGTACATACACATGAGGTTCATCCAAAACTAGCTCCTCTGATCCCACAGCTAGCTGGAAGATACAGAATATTCTTGAATAAACCTCCACTTGCACAAATATAAACTTTATGTCCACCCATACATAGAACTTTAGGAGGTAAAACCATCCAGATATTCACTGCTTTCCAGAGACAAAAAATGCAACCAGTGCTAGGATTGCACATTAACTCTTTTTTAGAGAAATGTCGATCCTTTCACACTTTAACTTGGGCAATCACCAACATGAGCTGTGTCTAAACAGCCTCAAAAGAGTGTTCATAATCTGATTTACTTTCCATGCAGAGAGATTTACTTTCATTCTGTAGCAGTGAATTTTACTTAAATAGATAAGCACTTTGAATTCATGATTTCGTAGCTCCTGCACTCCTCCTAATTCTGTGAGGCCTGAATTTCCCTGTATGTGTGGCACGGGAGGTGATTTCTGTTCACACACAATTGAGGAAAAGAAACTCAAATCTTTTAAAGCCTAGTCTATCATTAAAAAGCCAGCCTTAGCCAAGAGCCATCATACATAATTGTTACATTTATTCTAGGTTTGTGGGTTTGGGGTTTTTTTATTAAATATAGTTTTATTTTCAGTATGCAAGTGTCTCCATCTAACTAAACTTCATCCCTGAAATGAGGTGGAATGCTGCAGGGTGAGGATTGAAATGCAAACTTAGGAAAATTGAAAATAGGTGATCTTGCTTGACTTCTTTATTTTCTCTGAGAAGTCAAGAGGGCAACTCTCACAGAATGAGAGTTAAAAGAATAAGAATGAGCAATTAAAAAAATGTATAACAAACTATTCTAGAAATAATAATTAAACTTCCCCCTGAGCCATAAGGTTTGGGAGGCAAAAGTTTCTTCTGTCCTCTTTAAATAAAAAACCTCTGTTACAGGTTGCTAAAGAAAGGGCTCTGACAAATATACTAAAGATTTCTGCTGAAGTGATTTGAGTTGGCAATGCAGCTCATTGCTTATTATTTTCTTTTCCCATTTCATACCCAGACAAGATGACCAAAGTATAAAACCCTCAAGTAAATTTTCAAAGCACATGGCACTAACAAAACTTCAACTGAAACAGTTTAGATACTGAGTGCTTTTAGAAAATCCCATTTTCCTGATGCAAGATGAAGTTTCACATTACTGGGGATTGCTGCAGCTTAATAGGAATAAGTGTAATAACCATAACATAACCAATGAATGGCTAAAATACCTCTTTGCTCCTACCCTGTGACCTACTGTTCGGGCCCCCATCAATCTCAGGGGTATTTTTCTCCCTGCCCTCAACCCAATAGGAAAAACATTTTTCTTTTGCAAAGTCTTATTTTGCAAAGGTGACAAATTTGCTCTGTTCTTTTGTTTCCTTTTGGGAGTTTTGTGCCTATTTCAAATGATGAAATCCTTCCTTTCTATCCCTCAGCCACTGGAACAGAAGCCACATGATGCTAATAACTTTTAGAAAGACAAGGCACTCAGAAGGGTGGGTGCTGCAATCACCTGCCCAGTTGCCTACCATGGAAAGACCAAGTCAGGTGGAGGATTGGAAGCACAAGACAGAACAGTGCACTGCTGGAAGAGCTCCAGCTGGCTGTTAGTCCCTGCTATAGGGCATCTTCCTGTCTGAAGGCAAAGAAGAAGTTATAAGGAAGCAGTGGTTTTAAGAAGCTCACTGCAGACCTCAAGAGAAGAAGAATGTTTTGAGAATAAATTTTATCATCAATAAGTAAAGGGATTTTTTTCCCTCTTACACTTAGTCCATGCTTTATATATCAATATTTTGAATTACATGGACATACACTACTAACACTGACTTTTCAGAATGCTGGAAACTCACTGATTTTGCTGGAACATGTTCAGTAGTGAGGCCATTAAGCGTCTCTGCAATGCACAGATTAGCTCAACCACTGGCCTCAGCCACTTGAGAGCCTCTACAACAGAAGCAAATACTGAGACCTGTTAAAATAATGCAACTTCAAGCAAAAATAATTGCTTCAGTTACCAGGTTGGAGATGTCACCAGCAATTCACTTTCAAAGGAGTAGAATTCTATTAAAACCCTTCACTGGTTTGGCCTGGACAGATTGAAAACAAAGCCAGGAGAGGGATTACCTTTTGCACATGGTAGGACATTGTGGACTGCAAGAGTAACTCACAAGAGAAAAAACAATCCCACCTAGTCAAGTTTCATGAAAAATTTTTATTAAAGAGCATTTGAAAATAACATATTTTATGAAATTACAGAGTCCTAAATAAATTAATTCCTAAATCTTTAATACAATATAAACTTCTGTTTAATGGAACAATCCATATTACATATCTACACAGACAACACTTTTTTTTCAAACAAGAGCTACAATTAAAACTAACTACAAAAATGTTCAGAGAAATGGTTTCACATTAAACTATTCCAGGAGAAAAGGACCTAACATTTATTATTCTTATATATTACTTATATATATTATATATTTTACTCATACATTACTTATATATATTATTATATATTACTACTGTATTACTTTATATTAATTAAAACCATTATATATATATTTTATATATAAAAATGTGTATTAATATTTTAACTATATATTACTTATATTACTAACATGTATTACTATGATATGACATTATTATTATATAATAACGTATCATCAAAAGTGATCTACATGGTGGATTGCAGCTGGTTCCATATTTTAACATTAAGCAGTCATAGCATTTCAAACCCATCATAAAAGTCCTTATTTCAAAGTTTCCATTTCCTTCAGGAATCCAGATGAGCTCTTTTCCTTGGACATGCCTCCTCCTCTTCATCCTCATCGGTAAAACTAAATATTTCAAATATACATCTCTGCCAGTTGGAAAAGGAAAAAAAAAAGAAATTTATCATATTAAAAAAATAAAAATGAGCAATTGCAGTACACAATCCCCAGCCAACTTGTGCAGGACACATAAGCCTGCCAGTAGCAAGTTTCTGGGTGATGCCTTTTGCATTCCAAGACCCTTTTGTCTGGAGAGTGGTTTTGAACCTCAACTTGAGCTTCCTTGTTCATCTATCTGACCACAAAATTGTTCCAAAATCACTTTGTAAACTCCCAGCTGCAAATGAACAGATCCAACGTACAGTTCTGCAGAAGAGGCAAGATTAACCTGTGCCCACCAGATTACCAACAACCTCCAGTCCCACCTAAGCATTTCTTAAACCTTCCCCCAAATTAGTCAGAGTTTCACTAGGCAGGGATTTGGCTGCGTTTATCTCTAAGATACCCTGCCCACAGGCCGTTGCTGACCGTGCCACGTTATACCCGGCAAAGCACCACGAGGCTGCTGCACTGTCCTACATGAGGGCAGCAGCTTCCATGCAAGTTCTCCCACCTTGACAGGTGACATCACTGTGGTCAGGGGCGTGGATGTTGCATTGGAGACATTGGAGCTTTGTGGTGAAGCTGGAGCTGCCTCCTCTTCAACTTTACTGCCCCGGGGTCCTTCATCTGCCTCAGAGACTGTTTCATCTCTGACAAATGTCTTGCCAGTCAACATGAAGGGGACACTGCAAGAGACACAGGACAAGTGATTTGAGCTTTGCTTGATGCTTCAGACTTAGCCAGGCTCAGAAATGGCTTCCAGAGCTTTCGAGGGAATTCAGCATGTTGCAGAAGGCAATCCAGCTCCAGCTCCAGCTCCACCCTCACTGTAAACTTCAACAACATCCCAGCTGACAATGAGGCAAATGGAATCCTAACTTGGAGGGACAGAGCAAGATCCTGCTCTGCATAAAGGGCAAGTTTTCTGAATGGAACACTTGATCTAGTGACCCATTTCAGCTCTGCTACATGAGGCCACAAGAAAAGGCAGATGAGGGTTTACTGCAAATCAAGAGGGGTTTCAGCAAGAATGAAACCCAACTCCAATCCCAGCCACCTTCTTCTGCTGCCCTCCAGGAAAAGAAAAACAACCACCAGCCTTGCGCAATGGCAGTCACTGGCAGTCTCAGAAGACAGAAATTGGGCCATACCCGTTCAATGTCTGGCTTTGACAGCTTTTTTCTTGCTCATATTTTGCCTTCAGTCCCTGGAACGTGTGAACATATTGGATAGAGTCCAGCTTGTCAGAGAAGTTCTCAACTATGTGTTCAATAAGGGACTGGATGTCTTCCTGCAGAAGAACAAAACAGGGTTTCAGTCTCCAACGTTCACATTCAGAAGGCCAGAAAGCTTTTGAGTTTTGTTTGGAAAGCAACTAAGCCCTTCTCCAGAGCCAAAACATTCTTGTCAAGAACAAATGGGAAACAAGCAGATTTATCCTTAAAAAAACCCCTGAGATCTAGAAAGAATTATTGAGCTTCCCATAGAAACAGACAATAGACTCAACAGTGTCCCAGTTCTACTTGTGACCCTTCCACCAAACCAGGATGTTTCCTGTCTGGGAGAGCTGCCTTTTGCCTCTCAACCTGAAAGGCCATGGATGTGTCAGTGCTGAGGCTGCTGCTGAACTTACCACCCGGATGAATTCAAACAGCTCCAGCAAGGCAGAGTTGAGCAAGTTGTACCTAGTCCCATTGTCCAACAGAGCATTTACAACTGGCTCAAAGAGGTTTCCCAGAATGATGTACTGGTTGTAAAGATCATCTTTCAGGCCAATCATCCTCCTCATAAAACGAAGAGCAGCTGTGTGAAGAGAGACATTCAAGCATTTACTAACCTCATGCCAGGGCTCCAATCTGCTTCTTGTGGAAGAACTGAAAATTTTGGTGTTATCCCAAGAGGAAAATGCACCCTTAAAGCAAGAGCATTAAGAAGCACTTGGGGAAAGTGCAGAAGCAGCATTTGCTGACAGATCCCCTTTTCCTTCCTTCTTGGACTTTGCTGGGTATTTGAAGGTCATCAGGGACCACTGATTTCTTTCTCAAGTCCAGCAGCAATACACTTCAGCATGTGTGAAGTTCAACTGTTCACTCCCTCCTGTGCTTTTCTCTGCTCCCCTCCCAGAACCAGCCCCAAGTCTTTAACTATCCTGCTTCACAGAATTTCATTCCCTCTCCACAAGGAGCACCAGATTTAGGACCTTCTTTAAGAAGGACACGATTTCCATGGAAATGAGGCAAGACACCTCATCACAAAGGATCCTTACTGTCAGGAAGACCTGAAAGGATCCTTGAGGACTTCAAAAGAGACCAAAATCCTCCTTCCACCAAGAACTGCAGTGGTCTACGCTCACAGACAGCTGCTACCTTTCTTGCCAAATTACTTCATGGTAGCCAGTAAAACACAGGAAATCAACAGGACTTCTGAGTTCAAGTGTAGACACCGGTACTCTGGTGCACCTTCCACACAGGACACACAAAGCCTTGATGAAGGAAACCACAACAGCTCCATACTCACACAAGGCCAGAAATTTGTGTTTGGATTTCAACAATATCAGGACTCTTCTTAGCAGATCTTTGCTTGTAACATATTTCTTCATGTGATACCTGTGCCGTCGCACACAAAAAGAAAGCACCTCCAAAACTGAATCAAGTATTTCTGCTGTTTGATAATCATCTACAAGAAAAAGGAATGTATTCAGTTATACCAAAGAAAGAAATAATGCACTGTCATGTACACTGAGCTCCATTGATATTACAGTTTGTGATGTGTTTTTAGTGGACTTTTGTCTTACTGGATTGCTTTAGGAAGCAGCATGTTGGGTCAGAACAAAACAACAAACACATCTGTGGCTTTTTTTCCCATTACAGCCAATATTCTTTAAAATCAGACTAGGAAAACTACTACATGACTCACAATAGACATCAAGAAAGTACATCTGTGCAAAGCACAGCATCAAGCTACATCAGCATTCACAGATGCAAGAAAGGGCAATGAAAACTCCTGCCAGTAGAACCGCTGTCCTTGGAGGAACAATAGTTTGTAGCAGGAGTATTCCCAGCTGGCATCAGGGGCCTATTGTTGTTCTCAGGACTATAACTCCCTTCAAAACATTTCAGGATTAAAGGGGGAAAAAATGGTCATTACCTTTGTCATAGGATTTTTCTGATGTATCAGCCAGAAGTGGGGCAGTAAGAACGTGAATGCAACGGTCGTAGAAGAAATCGAGAAACTCGAATATTTCTAAATTCTAAAACAACAGTAACTGCATTAAACTCTGGCAATCACATATAATCTTTTAAATATGAAAGAGTAGTAGCAGAAGAAACAGCCTAGGAAAAATTCTACTGACTCCCTCAGTTCTGCCTGTATCTTTTATTTAGGCCTGCAGCACTGTCTTCACTCAAGCAAGATTGACTTATTTATTTTGGGTAAAAATCTGTGAGACAGCCAACCAACCTAGCTATGACCAAAAGGCTCCCCAGTATGGATGCAAATATAAACACATCAAATGCAGAAACTCCTCAATGACTCAAAGTGCTTTACCAAGTTACCTTAAGCCACTCTGACATGCAGTTTCTTCTGCAGCCTGAACAACCTGCAAACCTTTTGACTGGTATTCTGGGATATTACAATGTATTAAAACATTGATTTGGTTTCACACAGGCTCTACTGGACTCTCTTCTTTCAGGATTTATCATCCAGCTAGAGGGAGCTACAGTTAGACAGTGCTATGACACTGCCACAGGGGACTGCTTGGTTTTGTACCTGCACAGTGCCCCAGACACACTGAGGCATACTTTCATTAGCAAAATTCACTTCTGTTTTGCTTATTTAAACTCACTATCAGACCAGACTCCACTTAATAAAAAAAACCCTGAAGTTGTTCATTCTCTGCCCACAATAATAGCAGTAGAGACTCTCAGGCTTTTAACTTTGCTGAAACGGTGATGTGTCTTCTGCCCTTCATGTTCACTTACACTAACGTGTTCCCGCATATTCTCTGGATCAATCAGAATAAGCAAAATCTTGTTTAGCAGACTGTCAGCTCCAAGTCCAGGGTCAGCATTGTTGATCAGCTGCTCCATGATCACAATGAGGAGTGGGTTGTTCTGCAAAAAACAAACCAAACAACAAAGAAAACACAAAATAATTATTAGCAGGAATGGAATGAGTTCCTCAGTTTCTGTAATTTTTTTTAATAAAAATTAAAAGGAAACAGAGAAATTGAGACTTTGCCTCATTATTTCCCTGTTTGCCCTAAAACTAGTATGTTAACAATCTCCAAACCACTTTTACTTACATTGTCACTCTGACGGGCCTCTTGCAGCACAAAGTCGTGGATCATGAAAGGATTAAAGTATCCTACATAACACAATATATCTGTAGCAACAGATCTTACTTGCAGATCATTCATTCCCTAAGACAAAAGAGATTAATTTGTTAGAGTATATGAAGTTTGGTATTTATTATCAAGTGAAGATGCAAAGGAGAGGCACTTAAAAATCTGGACAATGTTTCATTATAAAAGTTTCTAGGAGAAACACAGTAAAACAGTTACAGAAAAACAACAAGAACCCAGCCAAATCTTTTCCCACTCTTTCCCTCCTTCAGAAAGGACACAAGGCTTTCTGTGAACTTGAGAGCCCTAATCTAGGCCAGAAACATTCACATCGGCCTACTTGCTAGAATATCTCAGACACTGATCTTCTCTACCTGTTATTCACAATTCATTCATTTGGTACAAAAGGACCAGCTGTACAAATCAAGGTGTACAACAATTTCTCTGCTCATTTACAGGCAACAAGAATTCAGATAGGATTGTGTCTGACAAAAATCCAATTAAGCTGCCACATCAAGAAGAGTCTCTTTCAAGGTTCACACCACCTTGTCACAAGGACTTCTCCACAGACTTCACCATCATGCAAAGTAAAAATAATAAGAGCAATCAAGCCAGGCTACTCCAGAGTAGAACTGTGGGCAGCTTTTGGAGGCTGAACATTACAAGGAACTTCCACTCATAGCAGAGCAAAGCTCTCCCATCAAACTTAGACGAGGTAGATCCAAAACCCTGGTGAAATCGCTAAGACCTTTTCTAGTTTTATTAAAATCAGCTGTACATTTTCACTTACCATTAACCTTTCAAGAGTTGGAAGAATTTCAAACTTTGCCAAAGTGTTGAGAAATTCACCTCTATTCGTAGGTAACGCATAAGAAAAGGCAAAGAATTCTCTGAAAAACTTCACCTAGTGCACAAGAAAAAAATAAAGTCAGGTTTATTTGAGTCAGAAAACTCTCGGAAAGGAGGAAACAGTTCTGCGGTCTTGGAGGTATTTCTGGAGAATCAGCCAGGACACCCTCCCTTTAACACAAACTGTAACTATCAGAACAGTTTCACTCTTTCTATTTCATCTCTCTCATTTAAAGCATTCAAGGAAACACCAAGAACACTGGCTTACCAATTCACGTAGTTGCTCATCAGCTGTAGCTTCATCATTCAATTTTGCAAAAATTTCAGAGAAAAATATCTCATCTTTCTGTGGAACACACAAAAAGAACACAACTTACACAGAGCCTCTGGAGAGTGAAAATAAATCTTTCTAGAATCCTCTACTGCACAAAGTAAAACTCTCCACACTGCCATTATTTTTATCCCAAAGAAGGCAAATGGCAGAGTACACATCCAGCAGGATCATTTCCAGTGTATTGTTTCAGCACTTCCCGGGTGCAGCACAAGCAGCTCTTGGAGACCAGAGCCACAGGTGAACCTGAGCAGAGGAGATGATCCCTAAAACTGACCCCTAAATTCGTCTCTACAGAGGGTGGCACTTCCTTTCCTTCTGCGCTTTCCATCCCAGGGCTTTGCAGCTCTTCTTAACCTCACAGATTCCCTGTGGGATTTTCCACACACATCCCGCAGCAAAAGGACAGAAAAGGGCAGTCCAAAGCTGTGCCAGGCTCCCTCCTTGCACCTTGCATGGAACCTTTTAGGTAATCACTTCTGCACTAGAAAGTGCCAATCAAGAGACAACACAATCAGTTGATCTTGCTGCATCCACACTGTTCACACTACACTGTGAACATCCCACAGGGATCAGTTTCCCTCTTTTGGATCTGCAGCATTGCAAAGTACCTTCTCAGTCCACCTCTGCAAGGAGGACGAGATTAACAGGTTATGAGTTGGCTGCAGACATGTCCTCCTTAACCATACTCACAATAAAACCTGCTGTCCCACTTGCAGGAGCTCTGCTTTGCCAAGATGGGAAACTTTTGGGACTATTCTTTGCTTCTCAGATTCATATCCTCTGCTGCCAAGGTTTACTTAAGGATACAGGACATAGGACAACACTTCACTTCTTGTAAAGTATTTTGGTTACCCCATTGCTTCAGACTCCAAGAAAACCAGGGGAACATCATCATCTCTCAAGTGTTTGGGTGCTTTCTGCCCTCTCTGCCCATCCATTTCTTTGTACCCCTTCACATGGAAAACAGTGTAACAAATGCCCCTAACAGAGAATAACAAATGTTGCTTGTTCCTGAAATACCTATACAAAACCAGTTCCTAAGGTGTATGTTGCTTGGCAATCAGAGAAGGACTTTAAACTCTCTACAACCCATTAAAAAATATTAAGATACTCACTTGAAATCTACCATTTTGAAAGTACAGAATGCAAGGCATCAGAAAGAAGAGGAAGCATTCAAACATTGTGCAAATTAAAGTGATTAACTTAGACAGTGTTCACCAACTGTAATCCACTTCCAAACCACATCCAGATGGATCTATACAGATCTATATATATCTATATCTATCTATACAGATACAGGCCACACTGAAACCCACTTACCTGCAACACTCTTAAAATCTCCTCTTTGCTGCGTCTGATAAATGCAGTGAGGGTAGAAAGAAAATCCTCTTCTAAGTCAGATGAATTCTGCGAGATGATGGCATGAATGTATTGTGCCCTGGATGTCTGGCAGATTTTGCGCCTTATTTCAGGGTCTCTTATAGGAATAACTTCCTGAAGCTTTGCTGTTTTCATCAAGAACTCCCTGAGGCTTTCTGGCTGAGCCAAAGATGGATCATATTCAAGGCATCCAGCAACATCCAGAATACACTCGTCAGAAAACATCACCTCAAACAGAACATCTTCATCCAGGTACAAAATTCCTCTCACAATGTCAAACAAAAGACGCAAGCCTTCAGTGTCCTTTAAATTCTTACAGACTTGGAAAAGCTGCAGCAGTTTGGGAATATAGCCTTCCTTTTTCAAGGCCAGGGCTAGCTTTTCCTTACCAACACGTGAGCGGCCAACAGAGCTCACGAGGTCTGCGATCTCTCCAAGTCTGTGGACTTCACAGCTGGGAAGGTCCATCAAAGGAATACTTGCACTCATTTCTTCAGGTGTTCCTCTTCCGACTCAAGAAGGTCCTGGGCGACTTCCACTGAACAACGCCAATGCCAAAAAAAGGGAACAGGAGGGAAGCAAGACAGGAGCACACGCTGCACTGACCTGCCGCTGCGCTGGCCTCCCACTGCTCTGCCCCTCCAACTGCCATAGGTATTCCAAGGCCTTATGGTGTCACCTGGACCAGAGCCTTCTGATTGGTCCATCCCTCAACATTCTGGATTACTGGGCTCATGACAGCCAACGGTCACAACCAACCGACTCCTTTTCGTTGTTGACCTTTTAGGAGTTCTACAGTAACTTCCAGTACCTTCAGGGGGTCAGTAAGGAGGCTGGAGAGGGACTTTTCCCAAGGCAGGCAGGGATAGGGGGTATGGCCTTAAGCTGTCTCTGGACTGCAAGGGTGGTAAGGCACAGGTTGCCCAGAGAGGCTGTGGATTCCCCATCTCTGGAAGTGTTCAAGGCCAGGCTGGATGGGGCCCTGAGCAGTCTGGTCTAGTGAGTGCCATCCCTGCCCACGGCAGAGGGCTTAAAACTAGATGATCTTTAAGGTCCCTTCCCACCCAAACCATTCTATCATCCTATGATCTGGAAGAGAGACAGAAACAGTAGTAACTGTATCATGGCTCTTTACCCCCTCCTAGCTTTGTAAGAGCAGCAGTTTTTATCTTTTCAGGGAGTGCAAAGGGTAATTCGTGTTTGTGCAATATGTTAGAAATTTCAAATGCCATCCAGCAAAGGTAAGTGCTCTTTTCCCATCAGTTAATTTAATGCTGCCACATGGCTCTTCATACCACACTCCCCAAGGGCCACACTGGCCGTTCCAGCACAGGGCACACGCTGCTAAACACAGAAACACCACCACGCAGGAAAAATCCCACCAGCCCATTAGGGCTGGAAAGCCTTTTGAAATCAGATGGCAATGAACAGGCCTAGTGTTTCCCCATTGAGGGTGTGTCCCAGCTTCTTCTACCCATGGAAAAAATGCATCTAAAACATGCATGGAATAAGTTCTGTGGGAAACAAAGCAGAAGGTTTTGTGGAGGCCTTTGGAAAACAGGAAGCCATGCACAGGCACAAGTTGTGATACATTTGCTGGCCAGGATCTTTTTAATAGAGAGTTTTTACTGGAAGATGTTGATCTATTTTTAGCAAATTAATCAGGACAGAAGTAATTTTTGAGGAATATCTCATTTGGACTTGAAGCTGTGGGGTTTCTCTTCATATTTCTGATACCTTGCTTCCTTTCTCCTCTGGAAACACTTTTTCTTTAAATAAAAAAAAAGGAATTAAATGTTAGAAATGAGACAGAGCAGAATTAAAATGTTTCAAGCCTAGTCATTTGGGTTTTTTTAGTTTTCATTTTATGAAAATTCTCAGCACTGTATTTTCATCTCAATTAAAACTTCCTAAAACCAAGAAAAATGTTTCTACCTACTCTATTGAAAATGTTCAGTTTTGTTTGTTCTAACCCATCTTAACATTGTTAACAGGAGGGTTGCAGAGTCCAGGCATACCACCCTGAGGAACTGAGGAGGGCACTAGAGAGCCCCTAAGCCTATTTGGGCTAAGCTTCAACACCACTGTCAATACTAGCATTTCATTAGATATTTTCACATGTTATCATTAGCTGTAGTACTGTAGCTGTACTATCATTACAATTAATTTTTCTTACCTAGAATAAGAAATTCCAAAACCCCACATATTCCAGCCTCAAAAAAATCCATTTTCCCCCCCTCCTTTTAGTCATTGTGATCTGAGATATGTAACTTCTAGCTACAAACATTTCTACACTGAAATCCCTATAGAAGAAATCTGCTAGATCTCAAGTTTCTCTCTTTGCATTTTTGCAAAATTATAACACAACACGGTGGACAGAAAAAGCCCGAGGGACCACATATTGGGCTGGGTGCCCAGAGAGCTTCACCTCTCCCCAGGCCTTTTGGACTGCTTTAATGCCCAGAACTTGAAGCAAAAACCCTCTCACTCCAGTCTAACATAACTGCAAGCACAAAAACCTGTGGCAGGGCTGGCAAGACTAGTAAAGCTCATTATTTTGTACTAAGCCGCAGTGTGGTCAAGTGCATTTTGTTGCGTAAGATAGAACATGTCAAGATCTTGAACTGGCACAGAAAAATGGGTGAAAGTTTCTGATTAAGTAGAAGCTAAGGAAAGTGCACGTTGCCAGAAAATTATAGTTATCTATTTTGCCTCTAGCCTCAATGACAGTGGTTAAAAGCCTTCCCAGGGTTCAGTCTTAGAGCAGCACTGTGTGCTACAGCCAAATGGCAGAAGAGCCTTTAGGTATTAAACAGATCAAGAGATTTTAAAGGTGGCACTTTTTGACAGTTTGCATGTCACATTTTCTGCCTTTTGTACTTAAATGGCACCTAAGAACAGACTAAAGATGAAAATACTTAAGCTTTACAATAACCTATTTCAGCCTTTATGCCTTCCTAGGAGCATCATCCTCCTTAGAAAGGGACTTATGCCATACATTTATTTCTGAGGGAAAAAATTTATTTCATGCTTGGTGAACATCAATCCTCCAGTGGGTCCCCTTCATACACACCTTGTTGTCAGTTTGCAGCCACGTAAGAGAAGAGCTGGCGAAGAGATTTGGGCATTTAATCAGTGGATGTGCAAGGTTACAGAAAAGCACTTTGTGAGAAAAGGAGAGCAGGCCAGCCTGACCAGCAGCCGCCAAAGGGACTGGCATAGTGGGTGCCCTGATGGCAGAGCATCCAGAGCATAGCTGGGATATGAGCAGGACACCTGAAGGAAATTCATGTGGGATGCAGAGTGATACTCAGCCTACATCAGTCCCAGCAAGCCAGTGTTTGGGGGAAAACCATCAGAACAAAGTAAACTCAGTCTTTTTACCTACATCACAAAACCCTTCCCAGAAGTACTAAAGTGTTAATTAAATTGCTGTTTTCAGTCATTTGATTTTAAAGACAAACTTCTTTTCTGGGAATATTGTCTTTTAACAACCCTGGTATATCAGAGCAGCCTACTTTATATAATTAAACCAATCTCACAGCAATTTCTAGACTGGCTGTGCAGCACAGCAGTCCCTGGGCAATCCACACCTTATTCAATGTCTGCTCTTTGCTTAGACTGCACTCAGCGATGGTGTAAGGAATGCTTTGACACAGAGAAGAGACAGAAAATTGCAAAATGCATACTTTCCTGACCACCTGGCCTCCCTCCCTTCCCAGTGATGCAGCCACAGGTTCAAAGGCCCCATGGCAAATATCATTCCCTCACCTGAGATGCGTGAGCAGGGTTTACTAAAAACCAGACACAAATGGCAATCACATACACCTGAGGTAGCCCAGCTTTTCTGCAGCTGTTGCATAGCACAGTTGGAATAAATAAAAACTGCCTTGAAATTAGCTGGAAGTGTATCTGTGTACACACTAACAAGGGATCTCGCCTCTCTGACTTAAATAGTTTTCAGTTTATTTCCCTCACTTCTCAAATTCAGAGAGAGACCATTTAAATCAAATACTACACTTCAAATCATGTCCCTTCTTGAAACTAAAGAAAACAAATCCCTGTTATTTACTTCCCAATTCCTTTGCAGGTACTGCAGTCTTTGTTATTCAAACATAATCACAAGAGGAAAAACAAATGTTCTTCATGTAATTATATTTCAAACGTTTCACTTTCAGGTCATTAAATCTCTGGTATCTTCCTCCCACTCTCCCAGCACCCTCTTCTGTTGTTGATCTCCAATGGCTGCTGTCTATGTGGCAAGCCTTCCTGGCTGGGGAGTCATTAATACCGCAAATATGATTATATTGCCAGTAATGAAACACTCAGTAAGGTGCCCAAGCAGCTGAAATTATTTCTTCCGAACTGTAATCTCTTGCATTTATTGACCATGGACTTGAAATGACACCTGCTGTTGTGCTGCTTGTTCATTGCTCCCAAGAAAAACCATCACAGTCTTTTTTTAAACTTTTTTCCTATAAAATGCTGTCAATTCTTTTTTCTTTTTCTTTTTTTTTTCTTCCACCGTTCCACTGCTCCTTTTCTCCTCTCCTCTAGTCATTCATGAGTACATTTAATATCAAGATCACCTCAAGGGAAGGTCAGATCAATGGTGAGAGTGAGAGTGCAACAATCTGACACCTGTCACTGCCCTATCACAACGAACTACAGAAAGCCAGCACAAGTCACCTGCATTCTTCCATAAAATGAGGGAAAATACCTCCAACCCCAGAGATATTCTGAGAATCCCCCCGAAGGCATTAAACCAGTGCCTTAAAGAAAGTTTCAGTTCTAGATCATGAACTTTTTTTTTTTTAAAAAGCAATTTTTCAGAAGAAAACTCTGAAAACATGACCATGGATAGAGATCAGGACGATTACGATTATCAGGATCAAAACATGTGTACTTCCAGGGTTATTTTGCCAGACAGCATTTATGTTCTTGTCCTGAGCTTTCATGGGTATCTTCCAACATGGTGCTGATGGCGGACAACACAGCATTCCTTACAAGCACAGAGCAGCTTCCCATAACTGAGTGACATTTGGTTTCTGCAGTGCCTTGCAAAAGCAAAAGGTGACTATTAAGATGTTATGGTGCTGATACTGCAACACTTGAGCGGCTTGTAAAACAAGGTGATTTAGAAGTGCCTGAATCCACAGTAACATATCAAACAAGGTGTTGGTTTGAAGGAGAACAGTATTCATGCAGGAGCAAATCCCCTGCCTGCTCAAGTGCACCATGGATTCTGGAGGAATTGCACTGGCTTCACTCGAACAATCCAGCTCCCAGTTTGTTTAAGTAAACACGCATTCAGCCCAAACAATAATGTTTTCTTCTCAAAGTGGCTAAGCATCTTCACAAAGTGGATTAATTAGGTAGTCAGCAATTTTCCCCCAATTGTTGATAAGCTCCAAAGCTGAGAGGACAGTCAGCAGTTAAAGCACTGCGGCACGTTTGTGTGTGTGAAATGAGGGAGTATACAAACAACGTCTCAGAAATCAGGGGGATTGTTTTGATTTTTATTGAAGAATGGTGATGCTCAGAAGGATTTGCATAAGTTCCTCAGGAGCAGCTCTGATGTTCTGGTTTTCTGACTGGAGTCAGCTCATTACCTCCATAACAGAGAATGTCACTGATTTCCTTTCTTCAAAATTAAGGATTGACAAATGTGAAAAAAGTGAGCTGAAACACCTCCTGAAAGATGACAAAAACCAAGGCAAAGTCTACAAAAATCACTGTTCTGTACTTACTTTTTTCTTTTTTAAAACTGTGTATACTCGTAAAACATTGTGACCAGCTGTTGTTCTTAGACATAAAGTGCTTATCACTGTTATGATCAAAATGATAATGAGCTCACTGACATCAACACAAGGCTCAAAACACTGTCTTCTGAAGCATACAAAAAGAGTTGAATAAATACTTCTCTCTTTAACAGCATCATTTTATCTGAATAGATTAAAAAAGATGTTTTAAACCAGTCTGTATCTTATCCATGCAAAATGGTGGATCAATTCTGAAAATGTAGAGGTTTAGAAATTTTAATTCATGGAAAATATTAACAGAGGTACTTTGGTGCAACTATCAGAAGTGGAAGTATGTTTAGTATCAGCATGAAAGAGTGTTGAGAAAATAAAGAGATCAAATGCATAAAATTACTGGAAAACTGAAGAGCAGTTATTGCCTGAATTTGGTTGCCTGGTATTACTTCACTCTCTGTTATCTGCTATATTGAGTGTTGGCTGTTCATGCCATTAAATTCAAGACAAAAAGAGGCATTCAACTCCTTTACAAGTATCTCGGTCAAATGTGCTTTACTCTGTCAGAGCAGGTATGTGGGAAATTACCAAAACAGTATTGCTGGGCTTTGGGTTTCTGGGGTTCTTTTTTCTCAAGGAGGTGTTCAGTAATGTAACATTCTGCATTTCTCTGCAATTAAATTTATCTCAGTATATGCAAATTTTGTGTGTGGGAACTCAGGCTTAACCAACAGCAGGCACAAAACAGGGAATTGATACCCAGGGAAAAGCATTAACCAGGATAATAAGAAAATAACTCAGCTACTTGTTTTCTCTCAAAATAAAGACTGATTCTAACCTTGGGGAGAAGCACTTTCTACAGGCACTGAAAGTTTCATGTAACTACCAATAGCCAGCTATTACCAAAATTTCTTTGCCCTATTTCTAATCCAGCATTCAATGCTTAGTCTCCTTGCAGGGGTGGCAACTTTATCCGAATAGGAATAAATATCTCTTGGTGTCTTTGTCATCCCATATTTTGCAAGCCAGTCTGAAGGATTCCCTCAATTAAACTCTTCAGCTTTGTTGTGACCACTCAGTACCATCCTGAGAGCCAAACACTGGTCCTGAACACCCAACAGAGCACAAGACTGGGGAAGAAATTCCCCAACATGAGACCACTCAAAGCCATGCTAGTGTTAATTGGTACCAGCACTGCAAACCCTTTTCTATCTTCTCCTCTGCAAGACGAGGCATATTTGAATATGAACACAGATTTTGGATACCTAGAGAGTCAATAGATAGAACCCGATTGCCACAGTGAGTTTCCAAAACTCAATCCTACTATTTTCAAATCCTCTCTGCTTGAAAATAGAAGAACAGCACAGGTCCCAGAGAATGGCACAGGACTCCAGGATCTGAGCTGCTCTGGTGGACATTGTGAGAACCCATCCTAGGAAGTAAAAAAAAAAACAAACCAAACCAAACAAACAAACCAAAATCCTTCTTAATGACTACAAAAATTTGAAGTTAAGAACAACGTTATCTTGAATTTACAGTGACTTAATTCCCACTAATAGCAGAACAAAATTGATTCTCCTTTACAGTCAAGCCTTTTTATGGCAATCCATCAAAATCACAGAATCATAGAATCATAGAATCAGCCGCATTGGAAAGGACCTCCAAGATCATCAAGTCCAACCCTTGATCCACTACTACCGTGGTTGCTAGACCATGGCACTAAGTGCCACATCCAGTCTCATCTTAAAAACCTCCAGGGACAGAGAATCCATCACTTCCCTGGGCAGCCCATTCCAATGCCTGATTACCTTCTCTATAAAGAATTTCTTCCTAATATCTAACCTAAACCTCCCCTGGGCAGAGCTTAAGACCATGCCCTCTTGTCTTACTGATAGTTGCCTGGGAGAAGAGACCAATCCCTTTCAGGTAATTGTAGAGAGTGATGAGGTCTCCCTGAGCCTCCTCTTCTCCAGGCTAAGCAAACCCAGCTCCCTCAGCCTCTCCTCATAGGACTTGTGTTCGAGTCCCTTCACCAGCCTTGTTGCTCTTCTCTGGACCTGCTCCAGCACCTCAAAATCCTTCCTGAACTGAGGGGCCCAAAACTGGACACAGTGTTCGAGGTGTAGCCTCACCAGTGCTGAGCACAGGGGAAGAATCACTTCCCTGGTCTTGCTGGCTACACTGTTCCTGATCCAGGCCAGGATGCCATTGGCCTTCTTGGCCACCTGGGCGCACTGCTGGCTCATGTTCAGCTTCCTGTCAATCAGGTCCCTTTCTGCCTGGCTGCTCTCCAGCCACTCTGTCCCCAGCCTGTAGCGCTGCAGGGGGTTGTTGTGACCAAAGCACAGGACCCGGCACTAGGCTTTTTTGAACCTCATCCCATTGGAATCTGCCCAACTCTCTAGCCTGAACAGGTCCCTCTGCAGAGCCCTCCTGCCTTCCAGCTGATCGACCCCCCCCCCCCCCCCCCCGGCTTGGTGTCATATGCAAATTTGCTAATGGTGGACTCAATCCCATCATCTAAATCATTAATAAAAATGAGGTAGTAATATTTAAAGGCCTCTTTTACTACTGCAGTAGGAAAGAGTCTCTGGGGCATGAGAATCAGATATCATACACACACAAGCAAATCAACACAAAATCCCCTCAAGTGCTCGCATCTATTTTTATCATCTAAAGATACAAAGAGATAACAGCAGCAGGGCTGAATAAAAATAAAACCATGGTCAGCCTATAGCTGTTCATCCGGTTCATGGTTTTTCATCAAGAAAGCAACTGAGGTGCCTGAGTATTTTAAGAACTGCAGCATAATCTTGATCTATGTGTGAGAATTGAGAGCAGAGTTGGAGAAAACTTGAATTTTGGCAAAGCCGTTGGAAAGGAGAGGTGTTCAACAAGGAAAAATGCAACATTTATAGACTTAAGGGTCATGGGTCTATCTTTAGGCTAAAGTATGCTATGGCCACACACGTTGTGGTTTTTGAGAACCAGATACCACAACTGAAGTAGGGTTTCCATAGAAAGACAATGAATATATTTTCTTAAAGTACTAATCATAAAAATAATTTGTTTTTTCATTTGAGTAAAGGATTAAATGGAACGGTTCCACCTGAGTTGCATCCAGCTTTCAGAACTTACCCCACACCCCATGAACATTCTGGCAAGGCCACACTGCTGAAGAGAGCAACCTACTGTGATCACTTGGCAAAAGGACCTGCTGTTGGTAGGTTCAGAGAGAAATATCTGCTGGTCGTGCCTTATTTCAAAGGGAAAACACTGGGGCAGATAACCCAGGTGTTTAACACCACCCAAATCACACAGCCTGCAGGGATCAGAGTTGGTCCTCTGTCAGGAAGGGTAATTATGAAACAGCACATATTTTATAAATTAATTTACTCCCAAAGTGAGGTAAGCAGAGCAGAGCAGACAATTCTGTAATTATTTTTTTCCTTTTCTCTTACATGAACAGAATTACACCCTCCTTTGATTTATGTTGTAGATGGTGGCTTTTTGGTTTTGTTTGAGTTTTGGATTCTTCGGTCTTGGGAGGTTTTGCTGTTTTCTCTTGTGGTGGTGGCGGTGGTGGTGGTTTTGGGGTTTTTGCTTTGCTTTGTTTTGTTTTAAACAGCAATGCAGAAGACTGAGAAGGAACATGAAGAACATGCTTCTATGAAATCATACTTTCTAATCAGAGTAATGAAATGAAAGCCATAGCAACAGTTTTGTGATTTCTTATTAAGGTCACAGGAAGTTTCTTAATGCGGCATGATACTGCCCGCCAGTAATAATTCAACAATAACTAATAAATTCAACATCATGAGAGCTGCCATCCAAGTATCCTAATACTGAGTCTAGCTGGCATTAAGGAGAGAAACTAAAACAGGGGGAGGAAGAAAGCTTTCCCCCCTGAAAAGCAAGAGGAAAAGCACTGGAAATCTGCAATTTTTTACTGTCTTTTGAGTGGTATTTTTTTCTCTTTTTTATTCCTTTTAAAGTAAAGCCACAGGTCTTCTTTTGTTCAGCAACGCTTGTCTTACAGGGACATGTAAAAGCTCCATCTGAGGTGAGGTCAGAGCAAGGGCAGTGAGAATTTGTTCAAATTGTAGATGTCAACGCAGTGTTGAGGTATGGGAGCTGATGCAGATGTTAGAAGTAAACTGACCATTGTAATGTGCAGCTTGTGAGAAGCTGAATAAAAGGTCCATGTGAGCTCATCCTGATAGTAATACAGAATTTATCCTACAGCAACCCATGATGACAGTCTTAAGTATATTTCAGCAAAAGTTCCATGTGCATGCCAACTAAAATAGAAAGGGATGAAAGCAGAAACAAGAGTGAGATGATCTCATACAGGGACCCAGGAACTCAGATGACAGAATGCTCTCACCCAGCACAATCCCTCTTGGCTGCAGCTGAAGTGGAATTACCACTTCCTCCAGGAGCAAGGATGTCTCACACAGGTTTGAAGGCCGTGCTTCTCAGCATAACTTTTCCCCCTCAGAAAAGTTATGTTCACACAGATGTTCATTGAAAAAGTGTAATTAGTATTTCTATGTAAGCACTCTATTCACAATTATTTCTCAAACCTTTTGTTAAAACTACTATTCTTTCACTCAGAAGTAGAAATAGATTCAATCAAGCTATCTGATAATTCACAATATAAAATTTCAAGTCTTGGAAAGAAAAAAGGTACAGCCTGTGTCAGAAGTACAAATTTACAACCCTTGCAAAAAACCTATTCACCCTGCAGCCAGCACACAGAAGCAGCATTTATTTACCCTTTTGATGTACAAGTAAAGCCTGAGAACATTTCTCATATCCATTTTTATATCTCTATACCTATTACTTGCAGTGATTCACATTGGCTGAAATGAGGTTGAATCAAAAGTTTCGTTGGTGCTTCTTTGACAAACATCTCACAGATTTCTCCCTTTCAATATCCTCAGCCTTAAAAAGATAACCGATGTAAAACAGATTGAGGACCACACCTGTTTCAGTACATTTCAGTATCATGTATAAAGAACACTCACACTCAAAGAAACCTCAAGAAAATGAGAAGTAACAAGTGTTTTGGACTAAAAAACTGGAAATTATAATTTTTTTGTTGATACTTGAGAAATTTTTTATAGAACAGCATGAACACACCATTGAACCCCATCTTTACTCATCAGATAACATGCTTGCATTTTTCACTGGGAATAAAGACACTTCAGGAGACAATAAATTATTCACTTACAATCAAAGGGGAAAAACCCCAACAACCAGACAGTCTTACCTTCTTTTCAAAGGATATGCCAACATTCCTGCCTGCAAATTCTGTTTTTTCAGTGCTTCCCACAACTGTTTCTTGAGTGACTTCTTCATTGGATGGATCTGCCTTCATCTTGGGTTGCTCTTTGCAGTGTTTCTGCTCTAACTCCACATGCACACAGTAGGAACTCCTCAGTGCTGATTTTAAAGTAACAGGTTGTCTTTTCCAGTGTTTTTTTCTGTATAGACACAATAGAAATATTGAACTGGTTAGTTGTGCTGCTGTCACTCAGACAGTGGAGGTATCAGTGAGAAATACAATGCCAATAATTAATGTTTGCAGTGGAAAAAGGCACATCAAATTGACTTGTAAAGGTCTGCTGTAGCATTACTAGCAATTGGCATCTTAATAAGTAACTAGATGATCATGCAGCACACTTGAGTGATAATGTAAAACTAGATAATTTATGGGAGAAAAAATACTAGGCTGGATAATTGACACTGTGCAATACACATGGTCTGCACTGAACTTTGCCACATTCATTCTTTCTGAGGGTGCCCCCTAGAAACCACCAGGCTTCCTGCATCTCCACTTGAACAGCTCCTGCCCTGAGGGACTCTTTTACATTGTGGCAGCTATTCAATGAAATCCCCCAAACAAATAAAAATTCATGTTTAATGAACACGTGGCCTGCCTCTGCCACAAAAAAAAAAAAGCCCACCAAGGTTTCTTCAGCACAACCCTCTAAATGTTCAAAACTGATCTCTCACAAAGTAGCTCTAATGGCAGCTGAAGGCTTCAAAAACAGGCCTTGCCCATGTCTTTTCTGTACAGAATTTATCCAGGCGGATTTTTACCACATATGGATAGCACAGAACGGCTTTAGCAAAACAGTAGGACTCCCTGGTTCCACTTTACAGTAACAGGTTTGTCAAGCTGTAACTCAGACTTCTCCTGTGCAAAGAACTCCAGGCTGTCAAAATGCCTGCAGTGTTGTAAATAAAAATGTCTGCTGAGAAATGAAACTACTCTATGAAAGTACCTATATTTTTTTTCCTGAGTTCCAACCTTCTCTCTGCCTTCCCACCCTCCCCCTGCATTTATCCCCCAGCTTGAGTTTAAAAATGTCATAAGCTGAGCAGAGGGCATAAGCTGTCTTCATCTAAATGCAAGAGGCAACTCCTCCTGCAGTTCATGTGCGTTTCACAGTCATGAATTGCAGGGAAGACAAAAAATTCAATAAAATAATCTTAAATCTTCTCAGCACCATTCTGGGGTAACTCTTTGTCGTGATGATAAAGGGCATTAATTACACAGTCAAAGTAACTGCATTATATCATTCACAATAAAAGGACATCAAGATTGAAATTCTTGGAAGTAGCATGACAGCTACAATAGAGTACATGCATCATTCCAACCTTAATCATTCCAAATTTTAAGAGTTTCAGACCAGGGTGCTTCAGCGTGTTGCTTGAAAGCACCCTCCCTATAAATCCAGACAAAAGCTTGGGATACGCTCCTTCCAATCTAAACTCATCAGTGACAATACAAAGAAGGAACTGAAGAGAAAAACAACTGTGCGAATAAAAAAAACTAATAAAAAATTGCCTGTAGCACCAAAAATACTCAGTTTTAAAATCAAAATTCTGCTAATGATTAGAAAGCCACCAACAATTATGTTGTGCCTTTCTAGCACAGGAGAGGCATTCCTAGGAAGAAGACTTTTCTCGGGACTAAGAATTCGTTCTTTACTGTCATCCTACCTAAGAAAAAGAAAACTGTTTTTAAGACCTAATGTGCAGCACAGCAGCCTGTGCTGTTTGGAAAATCCTCAGAAAGTTCAGACATGAACTTTCGATGGGTAAGACATGAAAAGTCTTGTCTGTCAGACAAATTCAGAGTTGATGGAGAGTGTTCTGTGCTTTGCAGAAGAGCCTCACCAGTGCACAGGATCTGACTGGCAACAATCTGTGGGGCACAGTGACATCCCAGTAAACTGAAACATTTCAGTAGGTGTATTTCTAGGATTTATTCAGGGAGGGCTACTCATATGACCTCTGAAATACCCATGGAAGAATCCTAAACACAAGTATGAAAGCTCAAGATTTCACTTATTTAAGGGTATATTTGAAAAGTTGATTTTTCTTTCCCTTCCCCTAAATAGAACCCACAGGAAGTTCAGGAATTCCTCCCAGTCTCCATCATTAAACAGGTCTTCCTCCTAATGTCTGTATGCACAGTATACACAATCTCAAAGCACAAATCCCAATTGGCCCAGCACAGACATAATTTCGATGCTCTCTGCTTCTGAATATCAGATTATGTGAAAATTTAAGCTGCTCTTCTGACCTCAGAGATAAACAGATTATCTTTTCCAAATGCACAGGTTATGGTTATTCATATTCATGCCCTCTGCGACAATCACAATAACAGCAATCAGATCATTACAGGAGAGCAGGCTGGGGGATAGGACGTGCTGAAGTCCAGCCTCCTTGGGAAAAACAAAGTCACGTTACCATGTGCATAAGAAATGTTAAATTTTGATTGTCTGATAGTTGGTGATAATTCTAGAAACCCTTTTCTCAGTTTTATAGCCTCTGTTTCCTCAGCCTCTCTCCCTGGATCCAGTTCTCAGCCCACACAGTGGTACCAGGCCTCACGCCTCAGGCCCAGAACTGATGTGAACACACTGGAAATCCGACCTGGTTTCCCATTAAGTTTTCAGCAAGAAAGAATGTCATAAACCTGTCCTTGCCAATGCTGCAAGGAGTGACAAGAGCTGAGCACATACGGAGGGCACTTTGCCATCCAGGACCTTTCACTATCTGGAAATCAGCTTCTGAGCATGTTAGAGGGGACTTGTCAGCCTGAAAAAAGTGTGCCAAAGTGTGATTTACTCGGGTCTGGCAGATAGCAAAAGCACTGTATATCATCCCTTGGTCCATGCACACTCTAAATTAGCTGAAGTGCTTAGAAATTTATCTTACAGCTGCAGGAGTAGGTAAGTGAAAGCAGAGGAGCACTTAGACGATGACCTCGAAAAAACATGTCTCAGACACTGCTTTATTGTGAACATGAATTACTGTGATGATCCATTCATTCTGGATGTTTTCTGTATGAAAACAAATTATTCACCACCAATATACAACATCTATATGGATTAAAGAGGAGTAAACACTGGATAACTAGCTTGTCTCTTCTGCACAATTCTTTGCAGACAAGAAGAGTAGTAAATAAACTCTCAAGACCATCTACTAAATAATGCATCTTTGTATAACTAAGTATATATCTCAGTCAGAAGACCAGCTTTTAGACTTTTTAGACAACTTTCAGAATAATTATCTGAGAATTCTAATTTGGACATTGCACCCAGCAAGGATTTTATTTTGTTTATTTTAAACTAATGACTGGATAAATTAATTTCTATTGTCTGATCAGGGCAAAATGATTTCTGAAACTTATGAGTACTAAACTATCATGGTTTTCACTGTTATATATATTTTCCTCATTGATTAAAACCTTACATTTCTACAGCCATAGGATCATTTTTTTTACTAGGAAACTAACACCAACAATTCATTTTTCACTGGTTTTGTAGAGTGTGCACTCAGCAGCACTTGGAAATCACATTAGGTTAAAAATGACAAAACGGAGGCCTGGGAGCTTTGAAGGAAGGGAAAGACAACAGAAACTGTCGACATAATGCCCCTGAGGCAGGTGGTCTGCTGCTCCAAGGGCACTCACACATCCCACATTACCATGCTGATGTGGTTGCTGCCTCCTCTTCCACCTCACACTACTGCTGCCCCCTCAAATTGCAAGATTTTTTCTACTAACACCTCGTACTCCCATCACCAGTAACTGCACTGGTGAATATACAGTCACAGAAGCCAACCATGGAAAAGGTGTTATTAAGAATATTATTTACAGATTGAATTATTGTCTCTTACAGACATATCCCATCAACCCAGTTAAATTCACAGAGCCTAGCAGAAAACAGGGAATACTGGTGAGTCACAGCTGCTCCAGCATTAACTACCTCAGACCACAAGAACTGTTTCATAAACTTATTACCCTTGAAGTTTCAAAGCCAGGTAATAATTTGCTGGGCTTCCCAAGCATAAGGCACAAGCAATCCAGACCAGTCAGCTTCAAACAACATCTTCATTATAAAGCAGCAGAACAAATGAAGGGTGAAAATATATGATTGCAATGAGACAAATACATAGCAGGCAAGAGAACAAAGAAAGTTCTTCCTGTTTTCATTACTTTTGTTACAAAAATGATTCTTTGGAGCACGATATGTTTGCGTGCTCTGCTGAGCCAAGTGGAAAAGGCTTAGGAGAGGCTCCCAGTCTAGGAGGCTGTGCAGAAACATCACCTCACAAGTACCCATGTCATTATTTGGCCAGGATGCTGGGACTTACCGGGTTCCTTCTGCAGGGCATGTCAGCCAGGCACAGTCACAGCCTGCAGGAGACACCCCAGCTGCAGCTATGCCCTGTCCCAGGATACAGGAGCTGTTCTGCATTCTGCACAGAGGCCAGAAATACTAACTGAGTGTGCTGTGCCTACATCCAGCTGTGAAAAGGTCCCATCTGTGCATCCTTCACAATTTTCCACATCAGAAGAAAAGCAGATTTTAAAGTACTATCAAAGGTGTTCATATAAATAACGCTTCTAACAGGCAGCCTGCAGTTTTATTTCACCTCCAGCTTGTAGCTGAAGCATTACCATAGTCACAGAACTGCTTTCCTGCTGTTCTGGTGTATGACAGTGACTGGCAACACGAGTGCTACTGAAAAGTGATGTTCTGTAAATCACCTGCATTACCAGTAAACCCTGAAACTTCTAAAACAACTGCAGAATAAGGAAGACATGTGCCCTTCATGTCTAAAGATCTAGCCAAGCTCCAATATTCTCTTTTGTATTGCAGATAAACCTGTTTTCCAAAGAAAACAAGAAGGCTCAGAAAACTCAGGCCTGCCCTGAATGCTGGTGCCCAACAACCATAATACCCAGTGTTGTCACTTGATGTCCCTGTGCTGAAACCAACCCCTGCCAGGCAGGTCCTTGGCCACCTGGCTGCAGAGGGAGAAGAGATGAAGCTAACTCAGTTTTGTGCACTGCATCTCTGCACCACACATCTTTCTATTGAGACTTCTTCTGTACAGATGGTGTCAACTGCAAGGCAGATAGAAAAAAGCAAAAAAGTTGAAGACCTATAGATCTATAATT